ACATGCTGACGGCCATGAAAGAAGTCGGAAAGGGGACGGCGATGGCGGCGGTGTCCGGCGACGACGTAAGTGTGACCATTCTCAGCGTAGGTCAGAGATTTGAATTTTAGGGTTTGAGTGATTCTGAGGTCCTAGTGTCGAAATTACTCTTGTTTGCACGTATTCCACGCCGAGCTGGCTCCTAACATGATCCAACGAGGTGCGGGTCCCGTGAAGTTGCATGATGAGCCAATTAACGATCCATGCCAAGTTGGCTTGCTCTGAGCAGCAAGACTTTGTTCCTGTACACCCCACTCGTAGCATGCAATGTCTCGTTTGTTTGCGAATTCAGGGCTGCTACAATCGCCGCCCATACTGCATAGTAGTTTAGGTTAGCTTCAACCACCTTATGAGCAGTGATATCCCCATGCGAGTTTTTCGTGACGCTGGTTCTTCATTGCGAAGCAGCTATTCTGAAAGAAATTGTCGTGCTCTTGCTCGGAACGCACTGTTCGTTTCCCGAACCGCTCGTTATAAGTCTTGCTCGCGCTTTTGCAGGATGATCAGGCGTTCGTCGCCAAACTTCTCAAAGTCCTCCACAGAGAAGGGGTTCTGGAGGTCGAAGCCCTGCATGCTGTGATCGCGCAGTTCCTCGCCCGGTGCCTCGACGACCTCCTGCCCGGAGACGTACGAGCCCAGTGGGAGCCGAATGATACGAGGGAGCCATTGGCGCTGATGGTGAGGGGCAGCCCGGTGGTCCTGGACGATCAGTTCCCGGAAGGGGACGCCTGGGCGTTCCTCAGACATTTCGACGCGTTACGAGAGCACTGCTTCGAACACGGGGACGCGCCGAGGACGCCGACGCAGGCCGGCACCGATTCCTTCGCCTTTGCACCGACCGCGGCCCCGCCCCTCGCCGAGCCGGCCCGCGATCACGGCAAGCAGCTGCGACACCCGCAACCGACGCGCTCGGCCTCCTCGTCCGAGTCATCAGGCTCCGACTCCGACGACTCCGACAGCGGCGACTCCGGCCCGCCACCCCGCCGCAGCAAGCCGCCCGCCTCGCCGGACACCGGATGCGCCGACGTAGCCCGCGTGCTGGCACGGCACGGGCTGACGATCGAAGACTGCAGGAACTCCAAGAAGCTGGGCAACAAGAAGGGGTTCGTCAAGCAGAACGCCATCGACGCCTTGTGCGACTTGGCGGTCGGGGGCCACGCCGCCCAGGCGCCCGGGGGGGGCGCGGGGCCGGGCGCGTCCATCGGTCCTGGCGAGGGTGCGACGATAGTGTCCGAGTTCACCAAGGCGATGACCAAGCAGACCGTTGAGTTCCGCAGGGCGGTGACCAAGCAGACCGATGCCATGGTCGGCCTCCAGGAACGAACTCTGCATCACTTGGCTGGACAGACGCAGAGGCACGTGGACGGCTACGTCAGGCTCGCGCTGGGGACCCGGGATGCCCCCCAGCCGATCGAAGGTACGCTCTGCTTTGAGCAACACTGTGCATCATGCTCCTGTATTTCATCTGGGGTACACAGGAGCATGAGCGAGATTGCACGCGTTTCTACCATTAGTGAGAACGCCTCACATGCCGCTCCCTCTGCTCGTACATTCTGCGTTCTCCCACCGCCCTGTCGAAGGTGCTCAATCGTCGTCGTCAATGCATGCAGCGCGGCTTCCCTGCTCCGACTCCGGCGAGTCCGGCAAGAAGAGGAAGGACCCCGGCTCTCGCTTCGAAGAAGTCGAAGTTTCCAAGAAAGCCAGCTCGCAGCAGCTGTCAGGGGATAAGAATTGATCAGGAAATATAGTGTTCGTCGCAGTAAGGTCGCGGTCTTGTATACGTGTAGTGTTTGCTCTCTTGGGTCGATTGGGACGATAGTACTGTCTGGACTCTTTTCTTGAATACATATTCAGATGTATCGACCTTCGACTTTCTCAACACCCAGAGGATGCACAGGAGGGCATCGGGACCCCGCTCATTGTCGAGCAACTGTCGTACGGTGACGGCTGCTCGATTCAGGACGCGCAAACGCTTGGAGGCGTCCATCGGTCGATTCCCGGGAAGTGATTTTTGAAAGAATCAATGAGTTCGGCGTTCCTTATGTACCATCCATGAGGGACCATACCATAGATGTGTGCGCTGAGCGAGGACTGCGTAATTATATGCCGGTCGGGATATAGCGCCCGATTCTACGATGCACGACGGGGCAAATGGGTGTGGATATGTACAATGGAGTATAGGTTGGGATCCTAACAAACACGACATGTCTTTGTGGTCTCTTTCTACACCCTAGTCGCTGATCTGAAAGCACGTCTTGATCAGGTCTTCTTATAGCTTTCTTATATATACCCTAAAACCAGGACCATACACTGTTTGCTTCCACCTGGCGTCAGTCGTCGAACACTATGAGTTGCTCCGACACGTTAACAAAGCGCCCGTCGGCTTCGATCTGCTTCGCCTCGTAGAAGGTCTTGCGGTCGGCAAGACGGCAAGAGCAGTCGACGATCTGGAATATCCCGGCGACGCCGCTCATGTGTTCCACGTGGTCGAGCAGGTCGTCCGTGGACACTTCCCGGATGTCGAAGCTGTTTCCCAGGATGCGGTTGACCGACACGAGTAACTCTCTTGAAGGGAAGGCGACCGCACACAGCTTGTCGTCTCGCAGACCCGTCGGATTGCAGAGCACGGACCGCCCCATCCTGAGCACGTGCAGCTGCTCCGGCAAGCGCCCCCTCTGGACGGTGTAGCGTCTCTGCTCCATCTCCCTGAGAGCGATCGGGCGCATCGCTCGGGGCGCGGCTACGCGTGCCGCCGCCATGGTGATGAAACCGACGATAATTTGTTGAGCTGGACGCAGGCAAGACGTTGTCGCCCCGCGGCCCGTCGGCAGATTTTTTCTGGCGGGCCCCGGTGTTTCCATAGAAATAGCTGCGACACATCATCGGCCAAAAGTCATATTTCTGGGGGACTTTGATATGGACCCTCATTTCGGTAACTTTCTCCGGTTCCGGGTGGCCCGGGTGGTCTCGCATACGAGGCGGTATGTGTGCGCGGGGGTATAAGGAAGTGCCGTGGGGCCAAGGAGGGGGTGCATCGAGACGGGGCGCCCTGCGATGCAGGAGAGTGGAAAGTGGCATGGGGCTGGGAACAGGGGGAGGAGGGGGAGTGGCGTGATGGAGCGCTACCCCAAAATGCAGCAGATACATTACGCACCCAGACAATCAGCAATCGGGGAGTTGTACACGTCTTAAGGAAGCGGGGAGTTGTACACGTCTTAAGGAAGCGCAGGGTGCCATAACGTTTTCGGACTTTACAATGAAGTGCGCCTGCGGGAGGGTGCGGCCTTCTTTCGGACTCGAAGGCGGCAGGGCTACTCACTGCAGCAAGTGCAAGAACGTAGATATGCGGGACGTGGTAAGCCCGAAGTGCGCCTGCGGGAGGGGGCGGCCTTCGTTCGGGCTCGATGGCGGCAGGGCTACTCACTGCAGGACGTGCAAGACCGAACATATGCGGTACGTGGTACACCCGAAGTGCGCCTGCGGGAGGAGACATCCCAAATTCGGGCTCGAAGGCGGCAGGGCTACTCACTGCAGCACGTGCAAGACCGAACATATGCGGGACGTGGCACACCCGAAGTGCGCCTGCGGGAGGAGGCAGCCCAAATTCGGGCTCGAAGGCGGCAGGGCTACTCACTGCAGCACGTGCAAGACCGAACATATGCGGGACGTGGTACACCCGAAGTGCGCCTGCCGGAGGGGGCTGCCTACATTCGGGCTCGAAGGCAGCAGGGCCACTCACTGCAGCACGTGCAAGACCGAACATATGCGGGACGTGGTACACCCGAAGTGCACCAACGGGTGCGGTACGTCGGTCAAAAAGCGGTACAGAGGATACTGCATAAGGTGCTTCGTGTACCTGTTTCCCGACGAACCAGTAGCCCGTAACTACAAGGTCAAGGAGCAGCACTTCGCTGATTACATCAAGGCGGCAGGCGTTCTTCCAGAGCATGCGGGGGTCACCTTCGACAAGCGGCTCCAAGGGGGATGTTCGGGAAAGCGGCCCGATATCTTCGTGGACGTGTACACTCATACGGTGCACTGCGAAAACGACGAGGATCAGCACCGTGACGCTACGTGCGAGAGCAAGCGCACGATGGAGCTCTTCCAGGATGCCGGCGACCGCCCCCAGGTCCAGCTGCGGTTCAATCCGGACGGCTTTACGTCTACGGACGGGATCAAGCACCGGGGCTGCTTCAAGTACAACAAGCTCGGAGTGCCGGTAATACGGGACCTGGCCACGTGGGAGGGGCGCATGGGTGCGTTCATCGAGCGCCTGCGTTACCATCTCACCAACGTGCCGGATCGCGAAGTCACGGTGGAGCATATGTGTTACGACGGCTACGAGTGGACTAGCAACATAGAAGGCAGGAGACTAGGCCAGAAGCGCAAGCGAGTGGAGATCTAGTGGATTAGGGGATAGTCATTGGAGACAGTTCCAGTCGCCGTTCACGTTCACCGAACGTTCACCAAACCAGCACAACACCCATGTGTGCAACTCATAAGACGACACGTGTGTTCCGGCCTAAACGGTGCCATGTCTACGTGTATGCTTCAATTTACGGTATCATGTATTTGCGGTCGTCGAACGCGCCGCCAGTACGGCCCACCTGCGCCACCGATGCAAATCGGAGAACGTGTCTCGATGTCGCCGGACGCAGACGGGCGGACAGGCACGTCGGCCGGTCGGTGCGGATGTCGCTTGCGGCACGTCGGCCGTTTTCCTCTGGGTGTACTCTAAAAGATGCTGTTTCGGGCCGACTCATCGGGACCCGACGATGAGGACGAGCGCACGCCGCCTGCCGACCGCGGTGCGGACGTGTCAACAGCGCGGGACGGCGCACTCCCGACGCCCGACGAGCGCCAAGAACGTTTCCGGATCCTTCAGGCCGAGGTGATGGAAAGGCACGAGGAACGGCTGCTCCGCATGGCCCAGCTCGCCGCCACGAAAGCGGAGCGCGAGAACCGACTGAAGGCCCGGCTCGGAAACCTGGAGAAACGGATCGAAGCGGTGCGAGGTGCGGAGGGCGTCGATGGCGGGGCGCTGAAGCGGCTACGGGAAGAGGCCGAGCGGTTGCGGGCACGGCGAGCCCAGGACGACGGAGGCCGGACGGCGGAGCGGGACGGGGGGGCTGCAGCGGTGCAGCACGGCGCGCACCAGACGGATGAGGAACGCCGTGCGCAATTCGACATCCTTCAAGCGGAAGTGATGGAGAGGCACCGAGAGCGGGTGCTCCGCATGGCCGAACTCGCCGCCGGGAAAGCCGAGCGCGATCGCGGGCGACGGCGCGCCGCAATTACGGAAGCACCGCGAGGCGCGGAGACTGACGAAGCGAATCGGGAGCGGGCGGGAGCCCAGGAGATGAGGGCCGCTGAGGACGCGCAGCGACGCCTGGCCGAGGCGGCCGAGCGGATGCGGAGAGCGGCGGAGGGAGCACGGGCGCAGGCGGTGGAGGTCGAGAGAAGGAGGTCGGCCGAAGAGCGGGCCAAGGAGGCCGAGCGGAGGCGGAGAGCGGCGGAGGATGCCGGACGCAAGGGACGGGGCAGGGGGTCTCCGAGTGCGGCGCCTGCAGAGACGGGCGAGAGGGCGTGGAAGCGCATCGCCGCAGAGACGAGGCGCAAGCACGCCGAAGATGTCGAGCTGAAGCGCCTCGCCGAAGAGCGCTCGAGGGAACGAGCACGAGCGATGGAGGACCATATGCGGCGCCTCGCCGAAGACGCCGCGCTGAAGCGTCAGGCAGAAGAGAAGCGACTGGCAGACGAGGCCGTGCGGAAGCGCCTGGCAGAACAGAAACGAATCGCCGAAGAGACCGAGCGCAGGCGTCTGATGAATAAAGCACGAGCGGCAGAGAGGCGTCTCGCCGAAGAGACCGCACGGAAACGGATGACCGAAGAGAAGCGACTAGCCGACGAGGCCGTGCGGAAGCAGCGAGCGCCGGATCAGTCGAGGCTCCAGGACGAGAAGCTGTTGGAGACGCTGGACAAGCTAGGAAAGGAAGCCAAAAGGCATTTCATCCTCAGAAAGACCACATCAGACAACGCCACGCTCTCCAAGCTCGGCATCCGAGGCATCGAAGGGATTCCTCTGACGCAGCCGATCATAAAGCATCTGCTTCTCATGTATCATCCGGATAGATATCGAGCGGGAAGAACGATATACCCGCGGGGCTTTACGGCTGAGAACGTCAAGGCCGTATCGCAGTTTCTCACCGCAAGACTGCGAAATCCCGACGTCGTGAGTTGAGGGAGAAACTCCCAGCGAAATCCCCGGTCAAAAACCCCACAAGACACAATGAACGATGCGTCTTGTAGGGGGCTACTTAAATGACCCTACCTTAGCGACTTCCCCAGTCAGAATCGTCACAAGACAGCAAGGAGAGGTGATATATAAGGAACCCGTCCACTCTTTCAAGATTCACTTCTCGGGCATCGGCCGATGGACGCCTCTAAGCGCTTGCGCGTCCTGAACCGCGCGACCGTCACCGTACGCCAGCTGCTCGACAATGAGCGGGGTCCCGATGCCCTCCTCAGCATCCTCCGGGTGTTGAGAAAGTCGAAGGTCGACTCGACGAGCACCGAGGGGGTGCAATTGGCAGCGTGTGCGCGCCTCGCCTCGCAAGCTGTCATGTGCGTACTGACGAATCACTGGGACGGGACACTGGCACCGGATCGGGTAGACGCACTCCGACGGTGTATGACTCAGAATACGCATCTGCTGTTCAGCGAGATCAGAAAGTGGTTCCTAGTGGAGCACGACGAGGGAGTATACTGCTACTACCTGGGAATGGTTAGCAGGACCATCCTCCGGGATGAAGCCCTCGCAACGGACTGCCTGTCCTCTTGGAGGAAGAAAGACAAGAAGGTGCAGGTGATCATGGAAACCTTGTTCGACCTCGAGGACGGGTCGATCAGGCCGACCAAAGCGCTGACGAAGAATCTGAGAAAGTCCTTGAATCAGACTCTGATGGAGACTGGTACCCCGAAGGACGAGGACATGTGTCCGAAGATGTTAGCGGGTTTAACCGTAGCACGGCTCGTGTGTGCCTCTTGCGGCGAGGCTAGGAAGGCGTCAGAGCAAGGAGATCGTGCTTCTTTCGGATCGCTATGGTCGTGCTCCTGGAGCAGAAGAGTCGCGTACTGCAGTAAGGAGTGTCGGAGAGACCACTGGCCCGAGCACAAGAGCAGCTGTGTGATGAGAGCAGAGTGACCGAGAGATCCTCGCTGAGAACAATCGACTCATCTGCAAACCCGACTTTGTAGGCCCACTGTGTTTGCTATTTATCGTCAGATGACAGCATGACCACGTACAGTGAACACGAACGAAATGTGATTGACATTATTGGCATGTAGTGGAATACCGAACCCGCGAGTGCCCGACCAAGGAATATTCTCTCCGAACTGCCACGTCAACATCCCGAAGCTTCTGTGAGGGGTCATTAGGGACACCGACCCTGCCATTTGCACTCAATGCTTCCTAGCGCATCTTCTAGTCAGAAGATTAATATGTATTGCACAGTCATACTGCTACTGAGCATGCCCGTCTTGTTCGATGCTCTGGTGGTCTTCGCAACGGCTTGCTACAGTTCGATGATAGGCGCCCTTGCGTGCGCCGTGGTGGTCTTGGACGACGAGTCGGACGACGAGATGTAAGGGAGGAGAACGGCCGAAATCTTCTCAACCCGGACAGGATGTTGCTCTTCCCAGAACGAATGTCCAAGCGAAGAGGCTGATAGCGGCGGAGGGAGTCCTCTACCGGCCTTGTGCGGGGCGCTGAGGGATACGCCGGGAAACCTGCGGGACGTGCGCACGAAGATCAATAGGAAGACGCTCCAGGAACGGGCTCAGTTGTCAGCGTGGAGCTGAGGCTCCCTCCTTTCGTGGGCGACACGGCCGGCGAGATCGTGACGGCCTGGTTGTCGCACCGTACGCAAGGCGGTAAATGCCATGCAAGCAGCGCTGGTGGCTTAGATCTTCCACGCGTCTCAAGAGAGATGTAGCCGTGGGTTGCGACGATTCGGTCGTGTCTCTGGAGAGATGTGCAAAGCTCATGGGAGAGGCTACGGTAGACCATTCGCCGAGTGGACTGGATCTGACAAGTTGCGATAGAAGGCCGCACCGCTGCCTGGAGGGTACGATATCCCATCGACCCTTCCCCGAACGGACGCAGCGGAGTGGGAGCCAGAGCAGCCTCAAAACATGTACATGAAGTGATATGGGACTTGTCGGGATGTCCGGATAGGGTTTTAAGTTGTTAGGGTGTTTACATGACGTGCTTGTCGATTGATTATTTTGAGAGCTAGCTCAGCAAGCAGACGATGAGAAATGCATTTACAACCTTCCGCGCAGGTTTGAATCACAACACACATGCACTGCCGAGACATCCAAGAAATGTCATCAAATATGTATGCAAGGTAGTCCTCTATTTCACCAGAGGGATGATCGACAGTTGTTATTATCAGTAAATGAGCGATAATCGTGACACGGAAATTTGAAAAAGAAAGAAAATGGGAGTTAGGGTTTACGAAATTTTGAAATTTAGGGTTTGAGGTTTTTCAGGGTTTAGGGTTTCCTGGGTTGGGAACTTAGGGTTTCAGGGTTTTAGGGTTTAGGGTTTTGGGGTTCTGGGGGGATCAAGCAGGGGGGATCAAGCAGGGGGGATCAAGCAGAGGGGATCAAGCAGGGGGGATCAAGCAGAGGGGATCAAGCAGGGGGGATCAAGCAGAGGGGATCAAGCAATCAAGCAGGGGGGATCAAGCAGGGGGGATCTACACTTCGATAACATCGTTTACGTTCGCTGAACGCATGTCCTCTGGCACTACTGTTCCTGCTACTTCACATGCTTTCTCCACTGCGGTCCAGAAATTTGTACTCTTCACAGACCGCCGGCTCTTATTAGCAACCGGAACCTGGAAACACCATCGATCAGCCCTTCCTGTTGCACTATCTAGGACAGGACTGTTGATCCCTAATTTGCTCCATATTGCATCGTACTTGGCAGGGGCGTCGTCTAGCCACACCTACATTGCAAAGATACATTCTTATCAAACTCTGCGAATACATCAATAAAGACATGTGACAGAACAAAGTGGCAACGCATGGCAGTAGGAACAATCTTAAACTAGAAGGCTTAAATACATGTAGATGGGCAGACCGAAAGGATATTTTACCAGAGTGGGTAGCTTCTGGCGCTTGGCGTATCGATCGCCTGGATCTTGCGAGGGAAGCCCCATGGGAGACGTGGCAACTGGCACCGAAGCTGTCGGGCTGCCTGTTGCAGCAGATGGTGTTACAGAATGAGCATTCAAAAGTTTGAAAACGTGAACACCGTGCAAACAATTAGCACCATTCTCCAAGCTCATAAAGCCATGCTAAAAGCCATGTATCAAAAACTGCCATGCTTGTCAGGAAAGAAAGGGGAAACAAACCTGGAGAGCTTGGAGCTTGTTGAGTGGGAAGGACCGGGCAAGGGCTGGGAAGGGAGTCAGCATGCAGAACCGGACCGGATGGGCTGGAAGTGGGTTCGACAGCAGGGAACAATACGGGAGCGCCTGGAGGGAGCCATGCAGAAGAGCTGGAGACTGTAGGGGGGGAAGAAACAGGAGGGCTAGTTCGAGTGGAGGGCGTAGCAGGCGGAGCAGGGACGCCGGATGTCGAGGGGCTAGTGTGGTGAAGGTTGAGGAGATCCGCTGCAGCCTGTTTAGTGTCCCGCGACCCCCTCCGCTTTTCCGCAAGCAGCTTCTCGAGCTCAGGTTCTCGTCCATGGAACAGCTTGAAGACAGGTGGTGGCACCAACCCTCGAAAGGGCAGCAATCCCTGAGCCTCAGCACGTTCTGCCGCAGCCCCTGCACCGGCTACATACACCCGTTCTGCCAGCTCCTTGGTGACCTCCCGTGTACCAACCGTCAGCTTGCCATCCGCAGAGAGTTTGAGGACTCCTGTAAAACCCCGCTCCTCTAGACAATCCCGGTAGACCAGGTTCCCCTGGGCTTCTTCCTTCCTTAACTCTGCCAGCTCCTCCTCGGACGCTCCGAGCCCTTCCCGGCAACAGCTTTCGCAGGGTGAAGGGTGCACGAGCTGAAGGGCTTTTCTGAGCCGCTCAAGCTCTGGGTAGACCAGGATCTCCGCCTTTTCCTCGTGCTCTAGAAAGCCGTCCTCGAGACAATTGAGGCACCCCACGTTCGAGCCCTCGAGCTTGACAGCAGCAAAGCACGTGTCAGCTCCGCAGATCAGGCATGGTGCTTGCAGCCCCACCGAGTTCCACCAGTTGGTGTACCTTGAGCCCCTTTCTTTGGGAGGGTAGCGGTTGGCAGACTCGTCATTGGATGGGAAGGACGTTCGAAGGCTGTTTTCGTGCAGTGTTTTGTCGATGTCCCCGAGAAGCTTCCACAGGCACTCCACGGCATGCGAGCAGACCCCAGTACGCTTCTGCTCGGAATCAAGGAAGTCGAGCGCAAGCTTGAGGACGGGCACCTGGTCACGGGCCACTTTGGGATCTTGCAATGTGAGCTGGCGCAGTTGGTCAGCGGCTGTAAGGTACCGGGCAAGAGACCTTGGAACTGGGAAATTGACAGCATAGGCCTTGTTGAACCCCGAGTTCCGCACCTGCACATGCGAAAGACAGCATCAACAGATTGTGCAGAGATTTCACGAATGTAATTGGAACTCTGGATGCATCCTTTTTTCCCCTCAGAATGGTGGGAATGAAGCAGACACTGCAATCTGTACTCGAAAAACAAAGCTGGATGTGCTGAGAGCATGCTGTATGCAACAGAGCAACCAATGCAAGGCCTTGTCAAAGCAGAAGGTGCTCTCTGTCCTGAAAAAAAGCTATTGCTGAGGTTGCTGGATGCAACAGAGCAACCACAATGCGAGGCCTTCGCCGCTTCCAGAAATCAAAGGCATACTGTTAATGCATGCTAAATTCCAATAGAGCTGTCAGGACGAAGTGCATTTAGAGCACGCTTTTTGTTAGAAAGCAAAAGCATACTCCAGAAGCTTGTTGTCGCTGAGTGTGTTGGGAAACCCCAATTCCCTAGAGATGCTCAGAATGGCATGCCAACAATGCTCTTTATCAAAAAGCTAAATGTTGAGCTTGCTGAAGACCTGCACCGGTTCTGGACAATGCTGTCTGTCGAGTTTGGACAGGTTAAGGACCATCAAGAAGAGAGGAGAGCAAGTGGGCTTGCCTGGTGGAAACCCGTTGTGATGACAAACCAGCCGGGTAACTGGGTTGCAGTATAGTAGGTCACTCCAAGCAAATCCAAGAGGCGGGTTGGCAGGACAAGCTTCTTGTTAAAGAAGTCACTGAGCAGGGACATGCGCCGGAAGTAGCCCAAGTGTAACGATTACGATTGGTTAAGCCT